GTACACACACGTTCTTATTAGGTGCACCTAGATTTCTGTTCTTTTTTTATTATTCCGACACCGCATTTATTGTTTGAACAGTTACTTTGATCATCGTCATTTTCTTCTTCTATTTCGCTGCACGAGTGTGTTTCGTACATATTATGTAAAAAATAAATAGGATTTTCAATCGAAATGGGTACCTCTACTGCAGATTATTTAAAATCAATAAATTATCCATTTAATTTTGTTTGACGACTGGTGGCCATAATGTTTTTAAAATCGTCATTAATTACCGCGGTTATTTATAAAATGTGCCCATTTGTAATATTTACATTTGCTATTGTTCGTATAAAATATTATTATGACATAATATGTCTAATGAACGAATTTACTGTATACATATTGCTTATTACACAGATTTCGAGAAAATGTTTTGCGTTTTATTTGTTATACAAATAACGAAAAAATAAGAACCAAACCTTCAACGTTATAATAGTATCATAAATTTGTGAACTATTCGTTATTAATCACTCGACGACAATACCAGTTATATATTAATATTGTTAATATTATAATTCTTATTATTTAACACATTGTTGAGACGACATTATGTCGTAGTCGACGCGCGACGGTGGCATCCGTTGCAGGCGTACTCCATTGTCCATTGAGATCACAGTAATTATCAGTGGTGTATTGGTAAATATATTTATGGGTATACGCACTAATAAAATATGTATAATCTACCAAAAAAAAATTTTCTCGCTTCGCTCGTAGTCAATAATCATTACAATAATTAGGTGACTTAATCTCTTATATTATATTATTTTTATTTTATTTCTTTATTAAATTTTCAGTATTTTTACTAATATAATAATATTAAAATTAACACTGATCATCAATGGAACCGACTAGTATTCATTCTTCTTTGTCAAACGATACTACGATAAGTACAATAAGTCGTAAACTCGAATAGCAAGATTCAAGAAGGAAAATACCCATTATTGCAGTAACAATAATTTATAAATAAATCTATAAATAAACACCATAAACCATTTAATTGGCCATAGCCTGATAAACACTTAATAACATCAGTGGTTACAAAAACATAACATCGCAAGAAACACATTTGCCGCGCGTTATAATTTATAAATGACATAATACAGGTTGAGAACCATGGACTGAGCATTCATACTCCATATTGGTAATATTACATAATATTTTAATAACATCTATTTTTCAAAATGTTATTAATAAATTTAATTTAAAATTCATTATTATATTAAAATAACAATTTTTCCTATGAATAATTGGTTTTCGAGTTATTTTAAGAGCGTATACCCGTAAAATGATATTTTACATTGGGTATACGCTGAAAATCGAAAATCTGCTGACGGGTATACGGCGTATACCCGCGTATCCGTACCAATACACCACTGGTAATTATTCATAACTTATTATTATTATTATTATTATTATTATTATTATTGTGACCAATATGATGTTTTATACCAAATAATATATATTTATTAACTGCCTAAGTGCTAATGCTCCACCTATTCGTGCGGCGATGCAATGTGACGGTTTTATCACCGAATTGTTACCTACCGTTGCCGTTAAAACTTCAAAAAACTGGAAAACACTAAACTACCATATATTTGTTTCAGTATCCTTCGAAACTGTACAAAATAACTACCTTCCTATGTATAATGATATATTGGTACCTATACCTTATTATGCGCTATTTCGTCGATATCGGTAGCCACCGGTGAAAATTAAACGGCTTTAAAGGGCTTTGGAATGTATTATTATAACGAGCTGCACAATGCTTTTATAATAGTATTGTATATTATAATATACACTTATAATATTTACCCGTAGGTATTATGTTTTATTCAGATGAATACATTCCTTCTTCCTAATTCTAAATAACGAGTACCTAGCAGTATGATGTGTATCGCTGAACACATTTTTTTCTTATACAGAATATATTTTATCATAATACCTAAACTGATGCGATCATAATAATAATATAATACATGGGATAGAATTCTAAGCCTTTGACAAAAATGTCGTGACAAATTCCAGGTTTAAATATAATAGAATATTATAGGCGAAATTAATGATGAGTACTCGACGAGTGACTTATAGCAAAACTATTGGATGCGGTACGATATATTTCTACTTATAGGTAGGTACCTATACACGGCAAAATTCGACAATCAAATGTAAATAATAAATGGATTATTTGCATTGGAAATATATAGAATAGTATGTAAATATAAGCTACAACATTTTTAAACAAAAGGAAATATCTGCATTAAATCTACAATGTTTGCATGCCTTTGTGGACTTAGGTAGTACGTACATGTTCAAGAGCCTGCATAGTACGATAAAATCATTCCCCGTGATAAAGTCACGTGTTTTTCGATTATTTCAATTTCATCGTAAAATGATTTTACTTGCATTCAATGCAATAGTTTCAGCTTGCTTAGCTTAAAGCATGGCACTTGTGTGTACAAATAGGAAACAAATTATAACTCTTAGGAAGGTAGTGTTATGAAAAATGAATTAAAATTTTATCTAATTAACTATCCACAATATTATGTATACTAATATATGTTTGACATTTTTTTAGAGTTGAAATACGATTTTGCAGAAAATCATTAGACCTGTCCACTATACGTTGAATAAATATAGATCAAAGGAAGAAATATGTTGTAATATGTCCTAAAGCTTAGTAAGAACTCGACGACAAAAACTAAAACAGCATTTTAAAGTAACTTGAATGAAAGATAAACTATGGAATTATAAATAATTCTTAAAATAATATTAGCACGTCGTTCATTAAAATGTAATTTAATGAAAAAAAAAATGATCAAAACATTAATTTATTAATAGTGACACCCTAAAGACAAACTGATTCAATAAAGTATAGTTAAATAAAAGGTTGGTGTTCTTCAACGAAAATGTCTGTGAACAATATTTAATTAAAAGATTCGTGCTATTTTTAAATAATAATATTGAGAATGTCATCTTAGATCGAATGTAGTTTTGATGAACCAGAAAAAATGTAATCTATGTAATACATAAAAATAAAATATATTTGTCTGATTATTTCCTTGGGCTCTTTCTTTCTCTATAGACCCGGTAACTATTGGACCGTTTTCAATGAAAAATTATATCAGTATAGATTCCTAAAGACCATGGGGAGTGTTTATATGTTATTTCTTCAACCCATATATGTTGTGGCACATGAATTTAATTTAATTTTGGCTCATGCAAATCAAATATTTTTTTTTTTGTTTATTCATATGGTTGCCATTGGTCACGTCATATTATAGTAAAGCAGTTATTATTATGATTTGATGTAATTGCTTATATTGTGGTATAATGTAATTTTATTTTTGAGCTCCGATGTAGAAAACACGAAAGCTAAATTTCGATACTTGGTTGAAACTAGGGAGATGTTTTATAGGAAAAAATCTACTAAAGTAAAAATGTCTTAGAAACCATTATTGTTTAATTTGTCTCGTTTGATTGTAGTCACTATTTTCACATACCTATATAAATAGCATACGGACGTCGGGACGTGAGACGGTCGTGATTGGATGTTGATCGTTTGTATCACTGCACTCACTTCGGTTAAAACGAGTGTTGTTCCTATTATTATTTTCAATTTAAAAGCAATGTATTGCACTCGGTAAACAATCCTGTGTAGAACTTGGTTAAATATAATAGAACGTTTATCAAATGTTACTTTTTTTAAATTTATTATGAGCCAACTATTTTCTAAATGTATTCAATTCATTAGCCATAAACGCAATATAGGTAATGATAAAACTAATTCAAAATCAAAATCATTTTACAGTTGTTACACGAAAATAAATTGCCATAATATTAGATAGTGAAAGGGGAGGGGGCATAAATCAAACTAAGAATGGTAGATCTACACTACCCTAGAAACTGCAATGAAAAAAAAATTAACCGACATATATATATAATGTTCAATAAACGGCAAAAATGTAGGCCCCGACAACGATCCGTGGATCCATCACTCGTTCATGGACACACTCGTTCACATGAGCATCATTTCAGTTGTTTTAAATTTAAAAACACTATTTTTGGCAGCTAGAGTAATAAAGAATAATATGTCATTCACTTAACACTTACCCATTAATTAATCTTTACTATTAAAATAATATTATGTAATAATATAATCAATATAATATGAAAATCAGAAAGACCATTGAAAAATCTATGATTTTATTTTGTATTTTATTTAGTCGAGTTATATTTTATTTGTGAATTACGAATTAATATATTTTGTTCTTTTTAATTTTTCCAACATATTATTATATTTTTTGAGTGTTTTCAGTAGGTTTTTAAGTTTGTAAAAATGTCTACTAGGAAATACCAACAGTTACGCTTCCAGAGAAACAATTGTGTCTGATTGATAATTTTTGGTCATAACCAAAAGTTTACAATTTTACTTAGTACCTATCAAATTTTTCATCTGTATGTTTTTTATAGTGTATTTCTTAAGCCATAAATAATTAATAATAAAAAACAACAAACAAAAAAACTTTTCCTTGATTCCTAAAGAATATTATTCATGTGGTGAGATATTATGCTCTTGTAAATTTACCTTTTCTTTAAAAAGTTTTACTCAAAAACCTGACTTTGTAAAAAGTTGCAATGTAACAGTGCTTGATATTATCCAAGCTTCGAATCATAATATCTCTGTGTTTTCTTTATTCGGGATTTGTTTACATACAAAGTTTTTTTTTTAATTGATGTTTATTCCGCATCGACAACTGGGTCATTAGCGCTACACGATTTAAAGTAATAACATTATTAAACAAAGTTTACTTTTCACACTACGATAAGATATTCTCCAAGCTCTCGAAGTAAATGTTTTATGTTAATCTTTAAACATTCAAATCGAACTTCGATTTCATCTACAACGAAGCTGTAACGAATATTAGCTACAGTATTTTATCATTATATTATATACTTACTCAAAAAACTCTTGTATTTAACTTTTCGGGGAAAAAAAAACAAACAATCGGAATCGTAAAAGCATCCACGTAAATTCCCGAAATAGTCAAGCGGAATAATTGATTGAGTGTTTACAATAATATTGTTAATATTTGTCTAACATGACACGTTTAAATATTGACATTACAATATCAAATCAGACCACAGCGGGTCCAACCTTGACATTTTTTAAAAAAATTAAATTCCGTGTATCGAGTTCCAGAATCGTTCATCGGGGAAAATTTCGTCCGGAACTCGTGTAGGTGGTGTCGGATCTGTTGGTCACAAAAAAAAAAAAACACGAAACGGAGACGGAGACAACGACGGCGGAAAATCAAAACCAAAAAAATTTTTTTTTTTAAACGCTTTGAACGCGAACTTGGCGGATTACGACCGCGACGTTGCGCGACGATGTACAAATGCCGTTTTCAAAAGTCGGAGACGGCGGCATTTCGGACCCGCACGCCGTACGCATGCGCCCACCCGATGATATTATTATTATTATTATTACTATTATCATCATCGTCGTATACCACATCGGCAACCGCTAGCGCGATCGTCTGCATTCTCAACCCCTCATTTGTCGCACCCGGAACTGGACCACCTAGTCGGACGGGCACGACTATACTAATATTGTCATCATATATTGTATACGGGCTATCGGACTGCCTGGTCAGCGAAATATTTCTCGAAAATTTGAACGAACGATCAGAATATATTTTCAGAAATCGCACGTACGTATCTGTCGGACGCTAACTTTATATTATTATTATTATTATTATCACCCTAGCTAGCTCGCGATTTGTATTATGCAAATTTCAATTGGGTCGGATCGCGCTTGGTGGTGGCCTGCACGTGCGATCGAAACTTTTTCCAGTGTCGACTATCACTCATCATAGGCGATTTCTTTCCCAAACCCTCACGCTATATCAATGACCCTTTATTAAATCACCGCGGCATTCACTGGATTCACTAACAATATAAAAATAATATGCAATAACACCGTTGTCCAAAACCGATTAACCGATTGTATACCCGTAATCAGCAGTGCAGGAAGACTGAATTAACATTTTAAATGAAACGATTTTATATTTAAGTATTTACAACCATCACCACCCCAAAATAAACTAGAATAATAATATACATTATTGACTTATGAAAAAGTTACAATGCAAGCAAACTGTGGCCAAAAGAGAAAAGCCTTAGCTTAGGCTTCAGCTCCACTACCACGACCCCTTTGAAAAGTTGACGCAATCGCGTCAAATATGAGCCTATTGGCCCACCACTGGTCATCAATGTAGTTCCAGACTTCACCAACTGCACTTGTACGGAATTGGTTGCCCGGTCGAAATAAAGGGTACGTTCGTGATAAATATTACTTATTTTCATACCGTTAGAATATTGGTTTCCATACAAACTGGTGATATTATTAATTAAATCCGATGACTGCGTGACTTTTTGACGAAAATGTGGGGAAAATTTTAATCTAACTGTACAATATACTGTTGCGACTAGCTTGGTAGTAAACTGAATTGACAATTTTATTCCATACTCCAAATAATGTTTCGATTCAGTAATTCAAAAAGAGATTCAATGTGAAAAATATCCAGAAACACGCATATTAAGTCTAGATAAACAGTTGTAAAGGAAATAATAATAATTTACAAACAAAATAAATTTAAAAATGAAATGACAGACAAATTTTTAGTTACTAAAAAAAACTTTTTTTTGAAAATACATAATACTTACACATTTTAGATTCTGAGCGTATAGCATATATATTACTTTTACAATGATATGTGTTTTTTTCTATCTGTCATCAAATTTTAGGGTGATAAAAATCCTCCGATTTACGACTTAAGCATCTTTTCTGATATGAAAGATCTACTTGGTGTATTTGAAAGGTCCGGTCCGTATCGGAAAAAAACAAAATAAAATTCAAGATAAATGGGAATTTGTACTACTCAAAACCAATTTTTGACGAAATCGATTTTATTTTTTTGATGTTACTTAAAAACTAATAACCTACCTTAGAAATTTGAAATTTTACCATGAAATATTAGAGTTTTTTGTGAATGGTAAAATTTTCAAAAATGTTTACTCTTATTTTGAACTGTTTAGCCATGAAGGATGTTTGAATTATTTTGAACTATTTGAACAATTATTTGTTAGGTAAGTGCCACATATACCTAGGTACTTAAAAAAGTTAATTTTTTGGTAGTTATATTAGTTACATGAAAGTTTATCAAAATGCTTCACCGATTCATTTGTTACTTGTACCTAAACCAGCGAGGAACCAATTCGTAGACGTCAACCACGATAGCTGTACTTATTATCATTACAGAGAGAGACATTTTGAGCATCGTGAGATAACCATATTTCTCAGTTATATTTTATACGGCACAGTAATATTTTTGATTAGATACCTGGTTAATTTAATTGAATAAAGTAATTCGCTGACTATCGAGGGATAAAATTGATGACGAAATTCACAATTTTCTCGTGTAATTTAAGGTTCACTGCCCATAATAAGTATCTATAACATTTTATTACAAACTTAACCAATGTTTATTATCGTCGATAAAAGCGTCAGTCGCCCAATATAGAGAGAAAATCGTGACCAACGGTGGTTTTCATCGTAGTGTTTGAAGTGTTCAAACGAGTCACACGTATAATACATAGCGATTCCGTCCGAAGTAATATAATATACCGCTAAACTTTGTGCTTGACACTCGACTTACATACCATTATTATGTGCTTCTGTTATTCGTTTGCTGTGAGGTTATAATAATATTATTGTGCACGTAGCTACATGACGTTTTATGTTTTGTGGAGTGTTTCCTTTCACTGATTGCAAATGTTTGCTATCTGCTCGATCCACGTGAAAACCTCAGTGGCACACCGCCGTGATCCGTCCCGCGGGTTTGTATAATTTAAAAAAATAATAATATTATGCTCGCATAAAACTATTATTTACAATATTTGAAGGTAAATAAGAAATCGGATAACTGATATTTTTAGATATTATTTGTTTTGTACAGCAGAGTAGGTGGGTATTGAATTTGCTTTACATAGGTACAATGACCTTCTGTACATACATATTTCATGAAATCTGCAGTATCGTCATTACAACCAAAGTCTAATTATTATTTAGATATTATAATTAAAATTGTTCAGGCTTGATAATATTACAGTATTACCGAGTATTTTGATATTATATTGTGTTTGTACACAGAAGAGCCGGAGAGTGGGACAACTTTTGCTACTAACTACAGTATAATGTCAGTACTACAACCTGAGTACATCGAAATTTTTTGGTGGTAATAGTTTTTAAATATAAATTTACATAAACTATTATTGTTAGTTATTACTTATGTTATTACCTATATGATTTTATTTAAAGCCAATAACTCAAAAAGTCCATACATAACGGAGAATCTTTCATTAAGATACATGTGTGGAAACCTTTTTTTTTGGAAGGTTTGTTTTTGTTTTAAATTTTAAGTTGGCATCATATTATCGACTTAAGCGTTATTAAAAAAAAAAAAATGTCTTTCATTTTTATTGCCATAAACTATCCACTATGCCAAATAATATTTATTTAATCTATACATATAACCCTACTATATGAGTAAAATCGTATACTTTGAATATTATACCGGATAAGTAAATTCAAAAATAATATCTTCTACATCACGTGTCTGCACAGTAGTGTATTGGGTATATAGTGCAGTACTTATTATTTACTTTAGTGTAAAAAAATAAAACTTTTTTATTATTTTTTTACGTGATTTTGAGTCATAACGTTCTAATTTATAAGCTGTTTGAACGTTTTTATTATAGCTATAAGAAAATTACATTTTTACGTCGAAGAATATCGCATTTGTTTACTCATCCATTATAATAGCTTAATATTATTTAATTACATTTGTCAGAATAGTAAAGATTTTTAAATAATTTTGTGCATTTCGATTTACTTAAATTGCTCGTATCAGTATAGAAACATGGGTTTCTTAATTATTCGTAATTCAAGATTGGAATATGAGTAGGTATTTTAAACTTAGATTTCTCTAATCGTTTTATTTGTATGGATATTTATTTTTAATTCTTTATTTTACACGAATATTATAAGTTTATTACATTTAATTCAAATTCCTTTTCTGAGTATTTTCAATCGTATTTATTACTTTAACACCATTACACAATCAATCAGATTCGTACACTTGTGATTTTTTCTTGTTGGTCATAATATGAATTATGTAGGTATTAAATCACAATCCGTTTGACATGTATTTTTATTTTGTCTCAGTGCAATAAAAAAGTATTATTATTATTTCACAGACGAGCTATAATTCTAAGAAATATTGAAAAAGGAGGATTTTAAAATCGAGTCCTATAATTCATGATCTTTCTCAGATAACTTTTAAAACGACAAAAACCAATGAAATATTTACCCGATTAATAGTCTGGATAACTCGTTTCCAATACAAGTGCAAACGTGCGTTATCGTCATATTTTGTAACCACGAATTTGGTCCAAAATATTTTACTCCTTCAATTTTATTTTTATATCAACAATTGACACCGAACTGACACGAAAAAATGAATAGTATTTTTAATTGTACGTAATATTATATTATTACATAATTATATTCTAACATAAATCGTGTTTTATTGGGATAAACATTATGTTGGTATAGCAGTGCGTTATAAAAATATTTCACGTGTTTTACTTTATTGCAAATACACTAGAACGTGTCTTGTGACTTTTTTACCCCCCCGGAGTACAATTATACATTAATAGCACATGGTGTCGTACATATTATTATACAGGATGCGTAACCAGTTTTTCATTTATCCTATTCGACTTAAAACGAAAACTTTAGCTAAAACGAGAAAACACTGGATAAAACACTCTGTATACATTTACCACAGAGTTTTGCATTTAAACGACATTACTATTATCTGAATAATGTTACTGTCGGGAGTTTACTTACAAGTTACCATATATAAATGAGTGTGTTTTAAACAAAACGCGGGGAAAAAAAAGTAACTCTCGTGTTATTTCAAACGATTTAATAGGTAGGTATATTACAGTGTAAAACGCATATTATTGTAACGTCGAAGGATCTAGTTTCGAAAACGTGTCAGTTTGAGAGACCAAAAAAAAAAAACAAAATATACCTACGCATTAACCGTATAAAATATATAAATACATTCCAATATTTTCGGAAAACGTATAATATATTATTGCATTATATGTTCACATAAAGGGAAATAATACTTTCATGTTCATTCGCTGAAAA